TTAATATTATTATTACAATATTAATAAATATTATAATATTAATAATATTATTAAATTATATAAGATTATATAAGAGATCAAAAATTAAAGAATTCATATTATTAAAGCGTCGCCTTTGCCATTTAAATGTAATAAATTGTATTAAAATCATGAAAAGTGATATCGACCTTCAATGTAGGATTTAATGTTGAACACTCCTAAAGTCTATTCATGTAATAGACTTAAAGGTGAAGACGTAAAGCCGAGGCTTTAAGAAGACTTGTAGTTTAAAATATGAATATATGATGAAAAAAATCTAAGAGTGGAATTACTTGGCAAAAGCGGAAATCCTCACAGCTTAAGTGGGTTTATGTCGGTTGTATCTGCAGTGATATATAGTACCACGCACAACGCATAATTAATGCATCATCTTGCATGCACGTGTCCTGCAGAATAACTGTGATAATGAAATTAAATCATCCAATTATGTTTAATATTAGCTGAACATTATTTCCTAATATTGGCGAAACATTGGAAAACAATGTACAGTCACTATTAAACATTGAATAAAAATTGAATCCCCAATATTATTGATCACTATTAGCTAAATATGATTAGACATCTACAACATTACAATATTGAGGTTTGATGATCAATATTGAGTTTCAATCCTTACCCAATGTTTAATATTGTTCTACATTGTTTTCCAATATTGCGGCAAATATTTTGTGCTCTATTAGAGTATATTAATAATTTGGTAATGACGTTGCGAATTTTTTATGGCAATAACAGCAAGAATTGGAAAAGTAAGACATTAATATGGAAGATTGGAAGTCACTCGTTACTAAAAAGAGTAACTCATTATTCGCAATGTTACTTCTACTCGTTTCTTTTAACGAATAAAACAACGCGTCAATGTATTACAAGTATCAAATTATATTTTTTCAGTAAGTAAATAACGTGAATGATAACAAGTTACTTTTTAAAGACTTCTTTAATCTTAGTGCAATCTAATGTTTAGTTAGTTATCGTTACAGTCATAAACAATTGCTTCATCATTATCGAATCGTTATTATAAAAAGTTTTAACAGTAAAAATAACGGCGCCACTATATTTCTATTCCTTGTTATCAAGTCACAAATATGTAGTCGATAAACAAAGAGAATTTTCAAAATAAATCGCAGAATTTAATTAAAAAGTAATATTTTTACATTTTACATTAATATTTATTTATTATTTTACTTATCTTGATTCAATTATTTAAACTATGGACTAATTAAGTATTTATATCAATATTATATTATAATAATATATATTAACATTGTATAAAAAAGTATGTGTGCATATAAAGAGAGAAGAAATTTCTCTAAGGACATTTTTCCGACATGACCTTTCGAAATTTGCGCAGATATAACAAGCGAATCGTTTCATTTAAGTTATCAAAGTGAGATAAGACAAAACGATATATTTCAGCAGATTTATCTCTTTTCCTTTTATATTCAACCAGTCCCTTACAGTTTCCTGTTTAAAAGTCCACCTTATACTTCGCCCTCGGTTTAGCACAATGAAAGGAGCGAGGTGCCTCGTGAGGTAGTACCACGGAGTCACGAGAGTGAAGAGTACAACAATGAATGCGCCGAGAGACGGAGGGAGCGAGCAGATGGTACGACGAAAGGAGAAAAAGAGAAGAGGGTGTACGTTGGAAAAAGATAGAAAATGATGGAGCGCGTTCGTTCCAGGCAACTCGGCCGCGTCGGTCGACATCGAAGCTCAGTATGCTGTGCAGCGCGCAGGCTCGCGTACATATGTATTGTCCTTTTCTCTCTCCTCGTTTTGGTGTCCGCGCGCGGCGAGTCCTCTCTTTCTTTTCTTCCCTTCCGTCTCGCGTGCGCATTGTCGGTCGTCCGGTACGCACGCTCCGTGCGTATTCTTCGCGTACGTACGTATAACACGTAGCTACGCACGACGAATATAATACTTACGTGCGTGCGTGCGCACGCGTGCATCAAAGTAATACGCAAGTACAAATATTTCGCGACGCAAGCTTTTTTTTTCTCCGTACGCACGCATTTC